TAACTCACATGACTGAAGTCCAAAGCCCCTGTCTCTGGGGGGGAAAAATTGGCATTAATGAATTAATGTAAATAATTATATGTACAAGTCCAAGGCAGTCAAAGGTTCCCACATGATACCAGCGAAATACCCATGGTATCCACAGATCAGCTGCCTAGATGGGAACTCACTTCTTAGTCCAGATCATTGTTTCTCAAGCTTGGCCTCTTGAAGTTGTTTGGACTTCATGGCTGGCTGGGGGATTCTGGGAGTTCACACATCTTCAAGTGGCCAGGCTTGAGAAGCACTGGTCCACATGGTTTTCGTCTGATGGGCAAGAAAGGGAACAGATCAGGTTTTTCAGCTGTAAGGAATGCTTGTTTCTAAACAGTATATCGGACTGGAACTCTTGGCTGAAGTCATTCCAGAAGCTGTTTAGTAGCAGAGGGGTTGGGTTTGACTTAACCTTACCTGGAAAGGAAATGATCTCCTTCTCTGTGTAATCAGATCTGTCTGGGAGCAAAGGAGGTGACGGGAAAAGGAGAGCTCGCTTGCTTGGCTCACCTCAAATTCCCAGGGCACCTCCTCCAGCCTACCTGTGTTGGGAGGAATGCAATGCAGGCTGGGGAAAGCCAACTCCAGAATAGCAAAGAGTAGGAGGGATTTACAAGAGACATTTTAAATGGAAAAAAGAATGCACAATGGTGGTTGTTATTGAACACCCTCTGCCAGTTCAGGCTCTATGCAAGAAATGGCAACTGAATAGGCATATTCAAGAGGAGTTGAAATGGGTAGGGGTGGGCAATCTTTTTGCAGTCAGGGACTAATGTGTCTTTCCCCACCCCCAGTTATTTTCAGCAGCCAGAAGCCTGCGGGGGGCGGGGGGGATAATATTGTGATGTCACACAATGGCTGATTTCTCCCCATTTGGGGTATGTTCAGTCAGTCTTTCTGTTCAGTTTCAGCCAAAAGGATCCAGTGGTATAATGCACCTTATTTCTTAGCTCTCCTGCTGGAAATCCACAAAAAATTGCACCACCAAGGTTCAGCAATTTGATTCCGTTCCAGAAACCATTTCAAAGGCTGAACCAGATTAAAAGGCTTGGCTTGCAAGGTTCCTGTTTCAGTATCTTACAGGCTTGTTGTTTTCAAAACTGAGTTCTTAGACAGAAATCCTGAAACAAAGATATGTGATTTCTTTTCTGGCCCTATATCTGCAAAAGTGTTTGGAAGGCACAGTCCTTTTGCCTTTAATAATCAGGGAGCAACAGAATTTCAGCAGTGAATGCAATGGAGAATTTGTTTCTTCTTACTATCAGCAGAACCGAAGCTCTATTACAAAAATAGTGGTTTGTTGCAAAAATGTCATAAGTAAACTAGCAGAGGGCATGGTCAAGCTATAAGTAATTCTGCTAAACATGAACATAGTCAGTATAGTCCTCTCCACTTTACTCATATATATATAAATATATATTCCCACATTTATTATTTTTATAAATAACTCAAATCAGTGAACATACCTAATACTCCTTCCTATTTTCCTTGCAACAACAACCCTGTGAGGTGAGATGGGCTGAGAGAGAGGAACTGGCCCAAAGTCCCCCAGCCAGCTTTCATGCCCTCACCCTTTCCTGCTTTCTAGCCTGGTGCCTTCACCACTAGACTAACTGGCTCTATTTCCATTGGGTTCAGAAGTTATTATTCCCCCTATGTACAAGGTTTCATTGCAGTCCTCTTACCTGATGTGTAAGTGTATATTCCCAGAATGCTTTGAAGATTTTGTTCAGTTATCAATTTGAAAGTGAACTGACTTAGTTGTACTTTCCAAACTGATAATAAGAGCACAATGGATCTACCTTATCCTAACGTTTCTGGATTTTTGCCCTGCAATTCTCAGTTCAAAAATTAAAAAACAAACAATCCAAAATGCAAATAAAATGTGTACTTCAAGGCAAAAGGCACACAGATATGCGTATCTTGATGGATGTTTTAAAACAGGGACTTACATACTTTTAAAATTCTACATTGTAGTAGGAAAGGGATGGTACTGTCACAAGGATCAGACTCCTTCTTTTTCTCTGTTTCATTTCCAAGCCAGGAATTCCAATAAAACTCACCAGACAATCAGTGAAGGTCAAAGAAAATATTGTTTATTCAACCCAAAGTTATCAAGTAACCTTGAGAGGGCATCCCAAATGGACTGCTTCTCCATCTCCCTTTTTATAGGTTTTTTTAGTTTGAAGATTTAGCCAATTACCACCAATGGAATGGAATGTGTTAGCTTATTACAAACAAATGTTTCCTCCTGTTAGAGTTAAAGCAAATGCCTCCTTATTTATAGTTAAACAGAATCTCTTTATCTAGACCTAAAACAATGTCTTTTTAAATGGGCATTTTATCTCTCCTATACATGCATTTTTCTATGCATATGTCTTCCTTTACATAGGTTTTGCTATGTGATGTCTCTTTTGTTTCTAATGGAGAAGTCAGCTTTTATTAATGGCATTACTACTGCCTATCCAGCCTTTCCTCTTAGTTTGCAAACTTATTGCAAACAAATAAGAAAAATATTCCAGCAGAAAATTATACAGTACTTGAAGCTCCATCACAGGTGAGAAATAGTCTGCTTTATTATGCAAAACATTTTAAAAAAATACTCTAGTATGCTTGGACTGGTATCTGTAGCTTTTAATATTTCTTGGTGTTCTTTTTTTTTTTCTTTGATATTAATATTTCCATTTTTGATGCAAATGGTCTCCAACCTGCTGCCCATGACCTCCTTTGGGCTTCTCAGGTTCTCCACACCATATGCCACTTTCCTTTTCTCTTTCCCAAGTATGGGGACACTTTGATCTACTGGAACTCAATGCAATGACCTTCACCTGGAGTGGACCAATTTTCCACATGGATTAACATCATTCCCATGATGACGTCATTACACAGATGATGAGAATCCCTATGGATGAGTACTCTCCGATTTAACTGACATTTGCAAATAATGAACAACCTCTCCCAATTAGTCACGGCACCTCTCCCCAGTCTCTCTGTTCACTGGAGAGAACAGGTGTCCTTCATGATGTTTGCCAATTAAGACACAATTCCTATTTGCCTGATATTTTTAACTTGCTAATATGCTCTTTATCTAAGAGTTTATCTAATGGGCTTATTGTCCTTTTGTTTTAGTTTTGTTTGTTTTCATGTCAACTGCTGTTTAAATAAGGGAAGCCCTTTCAGAGCTTTGGGAAGATGCAGATGCAATAAGAAAAGAGGAGAACACAATGTACTTTGTGTGCATTTAGTTTATTACCCCGAGACAGAAAACTACAGCAAAGAGCAAAACAAGCAGATGTAGTGTCATGAACAGAGAATTGTCAGAGTGCCCAAAAGTTTCAACCTCTTTTGGTCCTTAATAGTCAACCCTTTGGGCCTTACCCTAAAAGAAGGCACCTTCCAATAGCCAGATTTCTCCAGATACGGCCCTGGTGAACAAAGCTATAATCCTGCTGATTGGCCATTTGGTGGAGAAAGGATGTGGAGTCTGTGATCAGATCCTTGGCTCCCTTTTTTTATAGAACTGATTGGCTGGACCTTTCATTTGCTTACCAAGCTAAGAACATGTACCCTCCTTTTCTAGTTCCAGCCATGATTTTCTTTTTTTCCATTCAACTACAGCTGAGTCTAGGTTGCATATTATACCGCAATGCTCTGAAAAGTTACTGTTGGCTGCATTGGCACAGAGTTGGTCTTGGTAAAACTGACCCCATTCTGTAGCTTGTTTTGAAGGTGGCTTTTAAAGCACCCGCCTTCCTTTGAATTGTATCTATTGCACTGCTGTGATTATTACCCTACACCTTATTAGCATAAGCCCCCTATTTATTTATTTATTTATTTGTTCTGAAGAAGAATACATTTATAACTGAAAATAAAAATAGGCAGAATCAGACAGTTCTGCTTTGAAAGAAAATATTTCGGGCACATGGGTATTTTCCAATGGAATCTCCTGCGTGGAATTCTAGAAGCCTCGGTTTCACTGTGTTTTCATGGTTTCACTCTTCATGTCATTCAAGCACTGCGCCTGACACCATGTGGGAAAAGGCATTGATGTGTATTTAACCAGCAATACTGTCATACCTCATTGGGTAACATTGGTAAAGGTAGGCTCCACTCATACAGAGTGAAGTATAATTTATTCTCCAGAAATTTCCGGAATTTAGATAAAGTGGGTTGAACTAGGAAGTCTCCTTTGTGGTTTGACATATTCTGTTGGTGGCAAACTAGCAAATTCCCTACCAGGTTGAATTTTCTTAGAAGCTACCTTGCTTGCTGCCACATAATGGCTATGTTTTCATGTTATGTTAAATGTATTACCTCAGGAAAGCCTTGTCAAGTATGTCCTGTTAAATGTCTTGTCCTTTCCCTTTTGTTTCTGTGGCAAGGATGCAAGATCTTTGGAAGCTTTCACTTCATCTTTGATGATACACTGCTTCTCCTATTCTCACCTACAAACTGAAATAAACTGGGCTCTGCTCAGGTTTGAACATGCCACCTTCAAACCATGGTTGAAGAAGTTGACACATCAGACTGATCTTTTATCAAATTAATTCCAAGTCTGGATTAATGCAGCACTGCAAGCTGTAGTTAATTAAAAGCAGAAGAGAAATTTCTAGTCTCTTCTTCCCAGTCGTGAAAGAGAAGACAAAGTGAAAAAAGGAGGCCTGTGAGTCAATGACTGAATCATCATTTACCAAGCCAGCAAAGTGTGACATAACCTTGAATGCCTGTATCCCAGACCTTGATTCCTTTAGTTAGCTCTACCCATGCCCCTAAGACAGTGTTGTCCAAACTTGGCCACTTTAAGATGAGTGGACTTCAACTCCCAGAAGCTGGCTGGGGAATTCTGGGAGTTGAAGTCCACTCATCTTAAAGTGGCCAAGTTTGGACAACACTGCCCTAAGAATCTAGATAAGTTGTTCCTTTCCGCTCTTTGTGAAACTGTTCTGGCCGCTTTCCTTTCTGCAATTTTACTTTCTCTTACTGTTACTGGACTGTTTGCAGACAGTAGAACACTTTTCACTTTGACACTTGGTTTTACTATCAGTGAAAGTGGGTACTTTAATTCCTGTGGGTTTCCCTCCACAGACGCCCCCAGCCTTCTCACTGCATTCCTTTCCTTGTTTCGCAGCACTCTGAGAATTGCTTCCGGAGTTGGTCACAGCTGGGAAAAAAAACACATTGAACGGTTATTCCTGGAACACCTTTTGGGAAAAAAACAAAGAGGCAACTTGGTACTTACAGATGCTGATGGAACTTCCAGAATCTTTGCATATCCTGTGGGGGGAAGAAAAGGAGAATCACTTGTTTCTTCATGTTGATCTTCAGCCCCTGCCTTAACACTGTTTTAAGTTTATCATCTTCATTCTTTCCTCAAGAATGAATCCACCGCATTTATACACATTTATACAGAATATAAAAAGCATTACCCAATGTTTCATCATCTCTTGTGAAAATATCTTTTCTTAAAGTGCTGTTTCAGGGATTTAAAAATATATTCATATTTTACTGTTACATACATTTGGTAGTAACTGGAGTTTGGGGAAGTAAAGGTATAGGTCATACAGTGCTTGGTGACAGGGGTCCTATAAATCTTGATCTAGGATTAATTAACATAGGAGACTCACCTCTCTTCTTCTCCCTCCAACAAACTTTTGTAAGCTGCAATCTCAATATCAAGAGTCAACTTCAAATTCAGGAGCTCCTGGAAGTCAAGTAATAGGGTGGCCAGTTCATCCTTGCCATTTCGAAGGGCCTCCATCAACTCAGTGAATTTCTGTTGGGCTTCTTGAACGGCTTGCTCACCTTCTTTGGTTGCCTCAGTAACTGTCTTCTGGAGCTCTTCATTCTGTAAAGGTGGTAGGATTGGACATATTATTTTATTTATTAATTGATCATATTTATTGAACATATTTATATAGCTGCCCATCTCACAAAAGAATGACTTGGGTGGCGTACAACACATATTATCACCCACTTCTTAGTGCCACATATCCAGATTGCAACCCTCCAGCAAGTGGATCTGGAAATGTGCTAGTGCTCATATCCTTGAAGAACATGGGCCAAAATCTTTGCTTCATTCATTCAATGGAAGAACAAGGACATCCATGATTTTAGTAGTTGCGATTACATCTGGTAAGTCAGGCTTTGTCCTTCCATAAGCTATCCTCTTTTTTTTCCCTGGGAAATCCAATGCAGAAAATATAACTTTTGGGCAGCCTGGCAAGTCTTCTCTAGGCCTGGAAGTTGAGCATTCTGGAAGGGAGACCATCATGAAAGCCCCTGAGTGTAGACTGTAGACTAGACTGGGAAGTTGAAAACCATCTGGCAAAAAAAGTCATGGGAAAGCAGTTGTGTAATCTTGCCAAGAAAGCCATATAGTTGTGTCCATGTAGCCATTAAGAACTGAGCTCAAGATTGAGAGCATCTTTATCAGAACAACAAATGTTTGGTAATATGGGCTAATCCAGTTCCTGCATATGCTACTGTGAAATTTACCTCCAACACACAGACATAACATTCAGACAGACCTCACCATACTAGGTATTGGGAGTTGTTATACCTGTGGAGCATAAATATCCTGTGACATGTAAAAATGTTTTTGTATAGAATTGGAAAGAATATTAAAAAATAAAAGATTATTTGCATATTCAAACAAATAAAAGTTCTACTTTTCACCTTAAAAAGTCAATTTTTAAAAATGATTTAATTTTTAAAAATTTTTCTTATCATGCCAAAAGCTATAAATATTACAGCTGCTTGCGAAAAGAAGAGATTCAAGTTCTTCTAAGAAGGTCTTATGATTACTACTAGGTTTCATATATCCAATATGTATCATGCTTCTTAATGTTTCACAACTAGTGTTTGTAATGTCCTTGTCTCTTTACTAATTACACAAAACTAATAGAATAAATTCAGATTCTGGGACTGAAAATAGTAAGGACAAATAAGCTTCTTTATATAAAGAGGCATCTTACATATATTCTATAGTACTCATGCATGAATTATTCTATTGCTAATTTGAAGTTTGGATTATTGTAAACAAACTAGTGGTCTAATTTGCAGTACACCAGTCTTACCTCCTTCTGCAACCTCAGCAGTTCACACTGGACTTTCTCAATTTGTTTGATAAGTTCTGAAATCTGCTGCTGTCGATTCTTCAGATCCCCTTGGAAACTAGATCTCTTACTTTGAGCGTCTTCAAACTAAGGGTGTCAATGTAATAGGTTTTTATGAAATTATCATAATCATATGTTTACATTGATGCCACTTTTCCATGCTAACCATGTTCAAAGTGGCTCATGGCATAAAAATGCTATAACATAACATTACAAGACAATTTACTAACAAAGCAATTTTCTTTTGGGAAAAAAAAACCTTTCTAAATGCAAAGTAAGACTATGCAACCTGCTGAAATTTATATTAATGTTTAAGAGATTTTTTAAAAAAAAACTTAATCCAAATTACTACAAAAATACCTCATCTTAATAATAATTGTCCTGGGAACTATTCCTAAGAACTCTGATGGTCTCAGGTTGCCCTCATCAGCAATCTTTGAAGTTAGGGGCCTAGTTTACCCTTTCAGGTCAGTTGAAGATGAGACAGAAGAACAGATATCAGCTCTTGCAGGGTTCAATGTCTGATACTTTTCCCCGTAGCTACAAGCAACAGAGTCCTACCATTTAGCAGTAGATTGTTGGCCATGCTTCTGCTGAATGGGCAGTTCAAAAACAAGATCTCCTTATTGCTTGCCTGGGATGTCTATCAGTCTTACCTAATCCTTTTCTTCCAATAAGTTAGTGAGAAAAGTCTTTGTCTGGGCAAGTAGGCAGAATGGAAGCCATTCAATCCCACAACTCAAGTATACATTGTACATACACATTCTTTGTGGTGGTTACAGGATATTTGCTGACATTATGACAGTTCCACTGCAACATTTCTTTGAGTGAGGAGCAAGGATGTACCAACAGAAGAGAATATAAGTAGCTCAGGTTGAACTGTGGAGTCCTTGGTGTTCTCTGAGTTTGGTTGTTTTCTTCTTCTGCCAGTTCACTAGGCATTTGTATATGAAATGGGAAGCAGCCCCTTTCTTATGAGCAATGCCCTATAGTGTCACACTTTAATAAGGTAGATTGGTAATCAATCACCAAGGAAGCCACAAACATATACAATGCTATATTAAAAAAGTTAGCAAAAGTGACAAGAGAAATAAGCGAACAGTTTGCGAACAGATAGCATTTCACCTAGCAAGTAACTCTTGTCAGTATTGCATTATACTTTTATCAGCAGGTCTTTTTTTTTTTTTAACAAATAAAAATTACCAACTTTTGCACTAATGTGAAATACCTTGTTTTGGTAATATTTATCTGCCTCAGCTTGACTTCTCTGCACAACTTCCTCATATTGTTTTCGGATTTCAAGTATGGCGCTGTTCAAGTCAAGGTTTCTACTGTTGTCCATTTTCACAACCACATCCATGCCTTCTTCTTGTTTCTCAAGCTGTTCTTTCTCCTAGATGTTGATTCAAATGCACCGTCAGTTCCCTAGCCTAGGCCAAGTGGAGGTCATGTGAAGGAAGGATCTCTTCAGTGGATCTCTTCCTACTTACCTTCTCATACACACATTTCAGGAACTGGATCTCTTGGGCCAGGAGACTGACTTTCTTCTCCAGCTCTGCATTGTTTGAAGAGATACAGGCTACGTCCTAAACAGATGACATTCTCATATTATATTCTTTTTAGTGGGATGACTTCCAAGGGAAGGGAGGGAATCAGAGTTCACTTAAACTATCAGAAGTATCAAAAGTTATTTTAAAAATTTAAATAAATAACAGAATAATTTCATGTTTTTTAAACCTATTTTTCCCAGGTTTCATGTCAGTTGATTCTATGTGTTGGCCCTTAAACTCCACCCACAACTGGATATCTCCTTTTGTGCCAAACAATTTATTCTATTATTTGCAAAAACATTAAGTAGAGAATGTGGGTCTTCTTGTTTTTGAGTAAAAATACTCCACTGTTGAGGGAACTTGCTTCTTCTTTTCAGCTATTTGTGTTAATTAAACATGTCATACAAAAAAATTGGAAATTTGAAAGGTGGAGCAAATAAAATGTATTTAAATACATGCATAAAGAAAGTTCTTGGATACATGAACGGGTGACTTCATTTTTAATAATTATTGCCATTTTCTTCCATATCTAATTTATTTCTGCATTCATCTGAGAGTTTTTTTAAAAAAATGCATGAATATGTGCTTTTAATTATAGATTTTTAAACTACATTTTCATAACATATTTCCTACCAAAATATAAAATACAACAACAGTTGTAACTGTATTTTATAGATTCTGTGTTCACATGATATACTAAACTTGTTTAGTTGTTGCTTGGTTTATGAAATTAAACCAATTACTTAATGGATCGAGACCCTGATCCATCAGCTAACTACATTGGAAGGTATAGTGGTTGGTGGAAGGTGAGTGGTTCATACAGCATGCTATGACTCATAAAAAGTCTAACCAGGGTAAATTAACCAAGCTTAATGGGGTGCATAAATGGTAGCAAGAAATGGGTTGCATTTGGTAGCAAGAAATCATTTCTGATTTTTGGATCAACTGTTTTGCTTTCCAGAACCCAATAAAAGGAGAGAAAAAGAGCATCATATGGAATAGTGGAAAGAATGTGAAATAGATGCACCACTAAATTGGATGGAAATAGTATTGGATGAATAATAAAAAAATCCATGCACTTTACATTTGTAAAATGATCCTACCTTAGTATTTGAATATCCATCCAGTGTATAACTTAGAAGATTTTATTAATCAGCATAGCTATTTATCAATCATCTATTATAAACATACTACTCCAAATACACCATTGCAAATGTATGATTGCTAAACTATACTGCAATGCTATTATAGGATATATTATCCAAAATATCAGGCTGATTTGTTGACACTGAAAATATTATTTTTTTCATTCTTGTTAAATATTGGCAGGTTTGGATTGCCAGAAGCATAATGAAAAATAATGATGATGGTTGCAGTAACATCTGAGAACTATGAGAATTTTTTTCAAATGTAACAACTATTCCTTCACTCATGATTTTGGTTTTATTTTATTTTTTTTAACTAACTGCACTTAAGAGTTGTTCTGCTTACCTTCCTAAGTTCTGTAACCTCTTTCTCTGCTGCAACACGCTGGTTCGCTTTCTCTTCATAACTAGAAGGAAGGAACAAAAATTAGACTCATCTAGCAGTATAACAGAGAGGAAGATGAATAAACAGTAAGCATGTGGGACATCTGGTCATAGCGTTCCCAATGAGATGATGCGTATGGTGGTTCCAAATGCTCCTATATATATCACTCCCAAAATATCCCAGAGAAATAGGACTAGGGAAATAATCCTTGACTGACACATTGGCAAATGGTTTCATGCACAGAAAACTCAGTCCCAGTTATTTCTACTTAAAAGGAATATGTAACAGGTGATAGTAGATTGTTCTTCCTGAACACATGGCTTTTTATTAACAGAACCGACAATAGTGGACTAAACAATTTAGGGCAATGACTCCATGTTCCAAAATGCCCATACAATTTTCCCAGCTCTATGTATGACCCATCCTCACATTCATTCCATGGCATGGTTGATTCTTGAAATACAACCAGATATCATTATTGTTCCTCCACTGTTCAGCATCAGGACTTTTGACTGAAAAGGCCTTCAGCTACCTTGGGACAAAAGGAAAAGGGAGCACTAGACTAGGAGAAAGCTCTTTGACAAATTCAGGTAGAAAGACCAATGATCTCCTTCTCAGAAAGTCACTTCATGTGTTTACCTGCATATGCTACATATCCTAAACTCACATAAAACAGGAATTAGTCAGGGCAATCTTATACATGCCTACTCAGTTGCAAGCCTCATTATCTTTGGTGGAGCTTACTCCCAAGTAAACAGGGATCACCTCCACTGCACTCACTGCAGAGTCATTATGAAGCACAAAGTCTATGTCATTTCTTATCTTCTCTGAATAATTCAAGAACTCACTTGCGCTTGGAGTCTGCAGTCTGTGCCTTTGAACTTTCACTATCACTTTGCAGTTTCTTGTTCGTTTGGCACAAATCTTCCAGCATGTTCCTCAGTGCTGCAATATACTGTTCAAATAAAAGCTCTAAGTTTTCTGTAGGTGATTTATCTTGTTGTTGCAGGAGGCTCCATTTAGTTTCTAGCAGCTGGTTCTTCTGTTCCAGGGACTGCACCTGAAACCCAAAGTGAAATCCATCCATAAATCCATCAGTACATAAAAGCAATCCATCAATCAAAGCTGGACACACATTCTGTTTCATAGGATACTTTGCAATTCAAACACCATTTTAGCAGTCCAACATAACAAAGATGCAAACTGTATTATTGGGTTGATACAGGGGTAATCCATTTTTTTCCAACCCCAAATGGAAGCCAAAGTCAAAGCAAGGAGTAATCTAGAAGGCAGAACATGTATTAGAAAAGGTTGAAAGAACAGAGCTTGCTTAATGTAAAATAAATTATGGCAGGGACATGGCATGGCAATCATTCTCATGACTTCAGTCTTGAATATTAGCCCAGTAAAGTTACTGGCTCATAAACAAAATATTTAGTGGACCACAATTATTATTACAAGTTGGTTCAACTTGTTAAAATGTCTAGGTTTGCTTCCATAGGAACAATTTACTCAACATGTGTAACCAGGCTATGGATATTTCCAAATACACTTTAAAAGATGTCAGGAAAAGAGAAGGAATAATTATTCAGTCCAATTTCAAAGTAGTTAGAAGAGTCTGTGTAAACCCTGGATTCTAGCAGTTCAACTCAGGTGATCACTATATGGGTGACAGAAGATAACCAAAAATAGCAATGGGCATTACAGAACAATATTTGGACAGAGACTGTTACCTTGTCACCAGAATAAGAACTCTTAGTGCAACAGTAGCCTTAAATGATGAAAAACATAGGATCAGCCTAAAAACTGCACCAAAGTTTACTAGCAACCCTGGTTTTATCAGTGGCATAGTCGAGTAAGGAACTTTAAGCCTTCAGATTTGAGGGTCTCACCTGATCAATGAAACATGCAAATTTGCTGTTAAGGTTCTTCATTTCCTCCGACTCTTTGCGTTTCTCTTTCTGGATCTCAGGGGAGATACTGACATGGAAAGGCTCCAACAGCTTTGGATCAACACGTACTCCCTGGATGCTGTATCTCCTTTGTACTCCCTGGCCTCCACTTCCACAGGTACTGCTCTTGTAGCTTCCGCACAGGGATAAAGTTGTCCTTCCTCTACAGTTAGATGTTTTCGTGCTGCTCCAGGAGCCAGGACGGAGCCAGGAGCTTGAGCTACTTACACTATACTGGGTAAAGGGGCTTTGAGCATTTTGTTGGCTGCCTGCTAAAAGCTGACGGCTCATGTTGCCTTGCTCTGATGGAAGGGGCTGCAGAGGAGAAGGGCAAAGATCTGGATATTAGACACCTCCAATGGAGAACTTTGAATTGGCCTCTCTTTTATGTATTTGAGGATCTGGGCTTGGTTGCATAAGAAGATGAGGATTCATGTGGTTGGAATGCCTGCCACCAAAACATGATCTTCAAGAAGCTAGGCGGCAAGCAAACCAGAAAATAAAGGTTGAAATTAAAAATGTCATGACTTGCAAACTTATTCAGAGGATATTGCTTAATTAATTTGCTTTTTAACCCTAATTATAGTCTAGTCCAAAACTTTATCCCCCAAAAGATCTTCATAGACTGACAATAACATCTGTGGTTCTTTTTATATTATGATGGGAGAGGACACTTTTGTGTCTATTACTGTTATATCAAAGGTATGGATCAAATTGTTGAAGAATTAAAAAGAATGCATGAAAAAACCTAGGTCAACGTGGAGGTCCACAGCAAAATAATAATTATCCGGTAGCACTCAGTAATTTGAAGATGCGTCAGGCCCTTGTACCAAATACCTTCTCTTCTCACGCATTGCCTTCACTCCTGACAGTGCATTGTGCAGCTGCCCTGAGTCCACCAATACAGCTCCTTCAGACAACTCTGGGAAGAATGATTATATGTTGTTCACATTATTATAATGGAGGATTGCAACCAGTTACGTGATAGGTAAGGCTCCAGGTTTAATTCCAGACAATCCTTATTTCAAAGATTTCAGATCTTCAGTAAGCAGGACATGACACTCGACTGAGATTTTAATTGCCCTTTATCTAGTCAAGAAGATTTGAGGAAGTGTGAGGAAATTCCTTATATTCTCTCTCTGTTAAAGAATTAGGAAGTTTAACCATTGAATAAAATGGATTGGCAGGAGGACCAGGCTAAATCTAAGAGACATCTTTTAATGCAAAAACATAATTAACTAGTAGGATTTAATGTCTCAAAATGGTTACTATCATGCAACTCCTTGATTTTCATGGTATGATAGTGGCGAGGAAGGAACAAAACAATGAAATGTGATATTAGTGTCTTAGAACTAATAGAAGTACTTATCAGAAAGAACTAACAAGGAAGCAGATTTACTATAAAGCTCAACCTTGGGCAAAAAAAGTGGAGAAGAAATTATTTTAATTTCACAGAGTCTGGAAACAAATCACAGACTGGGTTTTTCCTAATAGATAAAAAGAGAGTGGGAAATAATTAAGATTATTTATCTAGTGCTAAAAAAATTCAACCTGTCATCTTTAAAAATAATCCCAGAGCAGAACTGTCACAGATCGCATACAAGATGTCACATACAATTCTCTGAATCAGTCACATTTCATTGACAATGGCATAACTTACGAGTCAAGATATTATTCTCACCTATGATTCCTCCTGAAATAATATCTATTGGCTGAATTTTCTACTTTGTCCCATAATATGAAAAAACAATTATAGTTGGTTAATGAATCTTAAATCAACTTCCTATCATGGCTAAGTATTATATTGTTTACAAAAATTCCTAATATTGAAATTTTTAGTGTTGTAACTTTTAACTAAAAAGGATAGATTGAAACTTTCTTGTGTGCAAGGACCAAAATGTTAAATACAGCTATCAGACAATGTAGATGCTCATATTTTCATACTGCTATCCATGCATAACAACAAACATTATGTAATAGCATGTGGGAATGACTTTGAGAGATGGGGGGAAGAAATGCTGCCTAGGGAACGGTCAGATAAGAGAGGGCATAGCCCACCACTGCATAAAGGGAGGAGAAAAAAGCTCAGAAGGTACCCTCCCCAACTTCCCAGGCCGCAAAGGAGAGGGCGGGAGATTTGTACTTGCAAGATTCTGTTAATGTAGCCTTACATTAAGGCAGTATTAGCACATCTCATCGTGTTTCCTATCTGGTCTACCTGGAAAGGCTAACACATTAATAGGAAAAATGGACAGGTACAGGTAAGGATGAGGTAGTGTAATAAGAGTTACACGTGGACCAAGGACACTCTAATGTTCAGTCTCTCTCTTTCATCCGAGTGCAGGACCACACTATTAATCTTAACCCATAATTAATATGGGTCATATTTCTCCATCAATTTGTTTAATATCTTTTTAGTTCAAATCCATGTTAGCTAACACGCTCTTGAGTTTACTTTCCAAGGTTGAGTGAACCTGGGTTTGGCCCAAACTGTTAGAAAAGTGGCTCCCTCCATGATTATTGATATGACTCTAAACCAGAGGGTTTTGTTGTTGTTGTTGATGTTTTTTTTTTTTTTAGGAGAGCTGAAATCTTGCAGAAAACATTGATTAAAAAGACATTCAATTTGTTTTTTGTTTGATATATGTTTCTAGATTGCTGATTATTCTATCATGCTTGTTGCTGTTAATAAATCCACTGTGATGCTTTGTACATTTATCAAAGCCTCGCTGGGTGAATAGTTGGTTGAACGTCTGAGGTACCATGCTCAGGATTCATTGCGTATCTTTTGAAATCACTAATCTTTTACAAGAGGCAAATTGAAAAAGATGTGCTGTACAGTCTGATACATTCTGGCTCACAGATATGTCAGTAATTATTGCATTAATCTTGTTGGTAAGAATGATTCAATAGTTAAAGTAACTGGAGTTTTTTTTAACTGATACCAATAACAGTATACTAATAGGATGGCTAATAATCTATTTTATATTTTGATCGATCTGCTGTCTGATCTAAGCATATGATATGTTCACATATCCTGGTAATATTGATATATTAATTAATCAATATATTAATTAAATATTGATTAGTTTGACTCTCGTGAAAGTTGTCATAATAAATTATATATTAATTATGCTTTACTGAAGACAGGCAGTAGCAAATGTGCTAAGTAGCTTCACAGGAAGACCCTACAATTAGAAAGTGAGGATGACAAGGAAATTCCTATCCATTCCGTTTATGCCGTTTGCATTTTAAGGCCTGCCAATAACAAGTAGTTGGAGGAAATACTTAATTCCAGTTTGAGTGAGTAAAGGATGGCTTGTCTGAACAGCTTCACATTCCCTGTTTAAGATCAGCTGAATGGTAGGCAGCTGGTTGCCATGGGGACCACTGCACCAGTGGACCCTTTCAATGGTGCCTTTCAAACCCCTTGGCTCTCTTGACCTCATTTTTAAGATACTAAAAAACAATCCAAAAGAAAACAGTTACAGTAAAATGGACTGCTGCAAAACAAAGCATTAGCTTCTTGCATGATCTTGGGCTCCATATAGATTTTTCAGCCATTCTTACAAAATGCAAAGGGTGACTGGGTGTCCCCAGTGCTTTGTCTGGAGATGTGACAACCTGTACAGACCAAAACAAAAGTATAAATGGGTGTTTTTGTAACAATGTTGACCATGGCAGCCATTTTGTGAATGTGCAAGTCCTCACTGCACCAGATTGCCCAAGACATTTTCCACAGGCTCCCAACATTTTATTTTATTTTTATTTATTCATTATTAAATTCATATGCCAGCACCTGGTACCTGGTGCTTGCTGCATGCTTTGGATTGGGAAGATAAACCTATTGTTTATTAACCTTTTCCAGGAAAGGCCTTCACCCTCTACTTTCTTCTGCCTAATCAATAACAACTCTAATTTCTTGACCTTTTTCTTAAACTCCAAGCCCTACCCCAATAATTTACATGCATTTTACTATACCAGCTTCAGCTCTGTAAAATTGAGTCTTACAAAGTTTCCTAGCTTAGTGTGATGGAATGGAATTATGAAGGCCAGGCTCAGGGAGAAAAACATTTTCTTACATCTCCTGAGGAGCGAGGGAGAGATAAGAGGAGGAGGCTGGCACCTCCCTGAGGAATTCACAAC